TATGAGCGAAGCAACGCTGACTCTGGCTATGGTTCACTTGATTAGCCAAATAATTCGAAGCATCTTTTGATTGATCAATTTTTTGGATTGTCTGTTCAACGCTCCTTTATTCATGACAACCGTGAATTCGTGGCTGTGATTGGTCGATTTATTCACCGCTCAAACACTTGTCTCTTTCGTTTCTTCCCGCCGTAAATCTTGCGATAATTGCTAGATTCACCCTGCATCCGATTTTCGTCGTACGACACTCTGCAACCAATCAGAAAACAGGATTCCGATGAATTTTGCTTCGTATTATCGGAATCCTGTTTTCTGATTGGATGCAGTGCGTCGTACGACGAAAATCGGATGCAGGGTGAATCCAGCAAATCTTCGTAATTTATTAAGCCCGGTTTTACAAATGTGAAATTAACTTTAATCTTGGCTTAACTTACTGTTTATCTTTGTTTAATCCTAAGGATTCTAATTCTAAAAATTCTTAGAATTAATAAAAGATAAACAGCAGTAAGTTAAATCGAGATTAAAGTTAATCTTACATCTGTGGAACCGAGCTTTAATTTTGTTATAGATATATTTAAGACTAATTGAATTATAATACCTGCTTACAAATGTTAAACAATAGGCAATTTTGAAACAGGATTAGTTGAATGATTTGATCGATCGTGAAGTAAGTTGCGACACTTGCGACATCTTTATATTTCTCAACATTCTACGATCGTGTTTGTTGTGTTGTCTGATTGCTACGTTCATCTGATTTCATCATTCGTTCCTGTTCGTTCCTTCGGTTCAGGAATCGGGATCTCCTTTTGAGCTACGATTGAATCATGGCATCGATCGTTGTACCGGCAGTATTGCGCTTCAGTCGTGTAACGGTCGATAATTTTTATCAAATAAATAAAAGTGGCTTACGCAGGTAAATTGTCATTTTTTTTCACTGACGCGAGTTGCGATCGAATGCTCGTTCCTGAGTCATATGTCGAATCGGCACATTGAGGTTAACCGTACATTACCTATTCTGTTTTGTTTCCTGTTCGGGAGCATGAGTCTCATTAATTAATATTAAAGCTAATTAATTTTCACTATTTAATTTTTTTATGACGCGAAATGATTACTACTTAGTATAAACAACTTTGTCTATTGCTTTGTACGTAAAAGTGTGAATCTTTTGAAATTTTTGTAATTAACAAATTATTAAAATTTTATTTTTTTTATGTATATATATAGACACTACTAAGTGTTTTTCTTGTATTATTTATAGGAATATTAGTAAATAACTTAAAGATGTTATGTGATTGTAACAAATTGTAGGTGATATACATTTTTGTGACAGATATATTTTATTTGTAATATATATTATACATACACATTTTTATTTTTAAGACAATGAAAGATTTCTTAAAAATCTTTAATAAATAATATTTTAATTGTGATTTTTAAATAATCTAATTATCTGGAGTAATCTTTTCTTTGGCATAGTTATTACTATTTAAACTCTTGTATATATGCATATATAGTAAAAATATATTTTTATATAAATAAATGTAAAATTATAGGTTGCCACGAGTATCTTCTGCATTTTCTTGGCAATATTTTGGCACAATAACGGAAGAGAAGAAACCAGATGCTACTGATGTACCACCCATGTCAGAGGCAACAGAGAATGAAAAAAAACTGAAAACTGAACTGGAGCTTATCAACAAAGAGCTAGCTGAACTTAAGGAATCTAAAGACACATTAGAAGATAAATATAAGAGAGCATTGGCAGAAGGAGAAAATATCAGAGTCAGACTCACCAAGCAGATTAACGACGCCAAACTTTTTGGTATTCAAGGCTTCTGCAAGGATCTTTTGGATGTAGCTGACATATTAGGAAAAGCTACCGAAAGTGTACCAAAGGATGAGATAACGGAGCAAAACCCACATTTGAAAAGTTTATATGAGGGTTTAGTCATGACAGAAGCTCAGTTACATAAAGTAAGATATTATATATCTTCATTTTCAATGAGAAACACACATAAATAATGTGACTTCAAATGAGGATATTAAATTCTTTCTTATTTCCTTAATTTAGGTTTTCAAGAAACACGGCCTAGTTTTACTGAATCCAGTAAATGAAAAGTTCGATCCTAATGAACATGAAGCATTATTTCAACAAGTAAGATTCATATAATAGGTATAAAATGATAATTTTTGTGAATAACGAATATCATTTTCAGGAAGTTGAGGGCAAGGACCCTGGTACAATTGTAGTTGTATCAAAAGTAGGATACAAATTGCATGAAAGAATAGTGAGACCAGCATTAGTAGGTGTTGCTAAGGGATAACTAATGTAAAGGTAGCTAGAACATCTATTTTATGATAAATTGTAAAATCCTACAAAGTTCAACATAAAATATTGATGTACATTGTAATTTCCTTTTAAATTTTTATTTGAAACATAAAATAGGAACCAATATAACGTAAAATGTAAAAGCAAAAAATATACTTTTATGTAAAGATCTTTTATGTAAAGATCTTTTATGTAAAGATCTGTAGCGTTAACTATATATAGAAATCTTTTTTTAAATATACATTTTCCATTACGCACACACAATTTAATTCTACGGAGCTTATAAAAAAAGCGATAAAATCCAGACAAAAATAATGATATATATTTCAATCAACTTCAGTTTGTAATATATCTTGACATAACAAAAATCAGTGTCACAAGAATATGATAGATCATAACTGTACAAATCTATATAATATTAAATACTTACTATCAAACTTGAGTTTGTGAATCAATCCTCATATAAAAAGAAGTATAATACATTTTTATGTATTCATAATTTAACATCTCTCAAATACTTTGTATAAATCCGGTAAATTGGCTATTTGTAATATCGTTGAATCGTGAGCGAAGTGTTTCGGTGGAAGTAAACTTTCTTTAATTGCCGGATACAAAACATGTTCAGTTACATATTTCCAGTCATGTGTCTGATGCTTCGGACTGAGGTAGCTGTAAAACTTTGCCGTTTCCCGGCAAATATTTTGAAAGCATAATTGTTCTTTTCTCCACTCAATTTCCGTTGCTAGTCGCATTATATACAATGGAATTTCCGCTTCGTATGGAAAATATTTATCTAAAATATTAGCATATGTACAATTTATTCTTTTGGTAATATAACAGTATTCGATGTTACATTATATTTACCTAATAATACGGGCAACGATCTCAAATTTCCTACTTTATCCAAAACAATCGAAAAATATTCGTTCATCATGTCTGCTTTTTCTAAAAGTAACTCCTTCACCCTCGCCGCCAATTCTTCCTTTGGTCCATCCTCTTCTGTCCATCCAGTTTCCCCCGAATCTAAAGCAATCATTGCTAAATCGAACAATGATATTCGTTCCTAAAAAATAAATTCACGCGTGCAATATTAAATGGTTATAAAATTACACTTAATTTACTGTACTTGAAATACATACTGAAAATTTGATGATGCCAAAGTTCGCAAAATCATAAATCATGATTTCATAAAAAAGCTCCTCCCTGAAAAAATATTACAGCTTAAGATATGAATAAATTTATATTACATTTTTGTTACGTAAAACAATTATCTTACGTTAATTTTCTAGTATTGCATATATATAAATTCACTCCACTCTGTATCAAAGCCGAAGTTTGATCGATGCAGCCAACAAACGTTAAATTAGCTAAAATGTTTCGTAATCCTTCATGACATTCATCTTCAACATCTTTACGTAATTTCAGGATACTAGTTAATTTTACTTCGTGTCTAAAGTTATTCACAGAATACGATTTAAATTGCTGTGTAGACTTCGGAGATTCATCAGCAGAAGTATTTGTCTCAGCGGGTAGTCTTTCAGATTGACTTACGTTACATATTGAACCTTCACCTTTTTGATTGTCGTCTGTATTCAATGTCTGTTCTTTTTTCTTTTCCGAATCTTTCTTTGCATTCTCGATAATGTCCCTATTTCCGAAATACTGATACACTTGTTTACGAGCCCTATCAGCTATAACATCTACAGGCTTATCTTCAGGATCATCTACTTCTTCATCTGAATCTCGTAGAAATTCTGAGATGTCAAACGTTAAGTTCTCTGGATGGACATTTTTCAATTTGTCTTGTTGTGCAGAGTCACATGGATCGCAAGTGTTTTGCGAGTCTAACGAAGTTTTGGTATCTAATATATCGCTCCAATCCAAATGCGTTAAATTATTATCAGTTGGAGTTTTTTCGGTAGGTAATAATGTAGTATTGTGTTCCGCGATATTTAAATTCGAGTCTTTCTCTTGACATTTATTGTCAGCAGGTGGATTTACCGTAATAGCATCAGGTACGCTTTCTCTCAGACTTTCAGAATTGAGAGGCTTAGGATCATTATGTGTTAATTCTTTCGTTAGAGTATTACTGTCACTCTTACGTTGCTCGAAATGTATGGTAAAATTAAATTTGTCAAGTTTTTGATCAGACGAATCTGTCCTAATCATCTCCTTAGCGTGAATCTTTTTTAATTTATCTGAATTTCCTTTGTTATACTCTGGTAACACCTCTTCTAGGACTTCTTTAGTAATGTCTGCCTTCGGTAATCTGGCTTGTAAGTAAAACGTTCTAGACGCGCTGTTGCCAGTCAGCCTTTCATCTAATGCGAATTTTATTCTTTCGACTATCGCATCTTCGTGAAGAAATCGAACTTCGTGTTTTGTTGGATGTACATTAACATCAATATTCTGTGGATTAATGTCCAAAGATATGTAACACCATGGATGAGCTTTCTTCGGGAGATATACAGAGTACACGTCTTCTAACATCTTACGGATTGCTGCAAATAAATGTTCATAAACATTAAAATTTTGACAAAGGAATTAAAATAAATAAAGATTGAATGTGCAACGTTATACTTACAAGTAGAATCGACCAATCGATTGTTGATAAATAGCAACATCACCATTCGCTTATTCGTATAATTCGGATTTGTCACTAAACCGTGCATCTTAAATTTATAATCCTTGTCGTCAAGCTCAACTTCTAATAGTTCGCGAGCAACAGGATTGCCATATAATATTCTTATATTATTCTGTTTGGTGGAATTATGTGGTGTTCGAACCTGAAAGTGTAATTGAACACAATACATACCTTCAAATATTTTATTTTCAAATGTATTTTTTAGATCATGCATACACTGTACGTTATATATTGTACACAAAATGATTCATCTTACTTGTGAACTCGGCTCGCCATGCTTTTTTAATGTAAATCCTACTGCTGGATTATGTACAGCATATCTCATAACTACTTCCGTAATTTTGGTAAATTCTTCCGATGGATTTGACAAAGCCTTTCTACGAGTTGCCACATTATAGAATAGATTTTCTATTGTTATTACAGTACCTTGATTTCCAGCACAAGGCACCGGAGGTGCTTTTAGCTTGCTGTTAATATACGATGCTCTGTAATAATATATGGCAAGTATAGCTTAGCTAATCTCTCTTTATCTGTATAAAAATAAGTATTACATTGTCACTGAAATATACATACTTATAGGCGCATTTTTCATCTGCTGTTTTTGTCGTGATAGCAAGAAGAGCTATGTGACTAATACTGGCCAGAGCTTCTCCTCGAAATCCAAATGTCGTAAGAGCGCTGAGATCTTCGAATTTTTGCAACTTACTTGTGGTGAATCTCTCGCACACGATCTCCATATCTTCTTTTTGGATACCAGTACCATTATCTTGTATCTGAAGTTATAAATTAAGTTAGAGGTACATATGGGCATAATTTAGATGTGTTTATATAATTGAAATTCTATTATATACCTGTAGTAGCTTTAAGCCTCCTTCTTTCGCTGTGATTTGTATGTTCGTTGCTTTGGCATCCAAACTGCAACGTAAAAGTGAATTTCTTGTGAATGTGCATGTAGTAGACGATAATTTTCAAAAACTAACCTATTCTCTATTAATTCCTTTAACGCATTTGCTGGTCTTTGGATTATTTCTCCAGCTGCGATTCTGTTCACCACGACTTCGTCCAATTTTCTAATCTTCGCTGGCGTACACATGTTGCTTGATATAAATTGTTAATTAATAGGTAATAGAAGGTAGCAAATAGCTCTCAACACCTGTTCTTAGATGTAAACATATACAGCATAATCCAGGAACATAATTCAATCTCGTATCTAAATTGATAATCTAGTTAGGATTGTTATACGATAAGTTTTACGTTCAGTGAAAATTTTTTAAAGAGCTCTTGAACAAATTTTCGACGAAAGATACTTCTACACATGTCACTGGCGCCCATTTTTAAATGAATAGGTTAAAAATTAACTCTGCGATATTACCGACAGATATAATTGACTATGGTTGATAAGTTTCCTGATGTCGATAATTGAGGGCGTTATCTTATCGACACGGCAAAATTTATTTAAAATACTTTTTCAGTTGAAAAAATTTAAATTCTTATAAATTGAACGAAGCAAAGTATTATGCGGGGTCTACAATAGAAGTCGTAGCGGTCGTAGAGTCTTAAGTTGTAGAAAATTGACCAATCACAGTTGATTATTCTTCTCATATTCGTCTGTGATTGATCAATTTTCTACGACTTAGGGCCAGTTGTTCCACCTTTTGGTAAATTTTTTACCTGTTAGATAAATCTGGCAATCCGCGCATATGATTGGATAATCTTGCTACTTGCCCAACAGGTAAAATATACGAAAAGGTGGAACAACCGGGCCTTAAGACTCTACGATTGCTACGACTTCTGTTGTAGAGAGACCCCGCATTAAGGTTCTTCATTAGTTTGCCAACCGCTTTTGTGTAGATAGAGCGGACTAAACTGAGTCGAAAAATCCTGTACCATTTTGCAATTTTCGCAATGGTTAACGAGATATTAATTACTAAAAATCGCTGAATATATTGTTTAATAATTATTTATTCAAATACTATCAACTTTTCACAGAAAAACAACAAGAGACAAAAATTATTTATTTCCTTCTCATAAAGTTCTGAGAATTTTTTTAGAATTTTTTAATACCTCTATTTTTTCATGTTAGTAAAAATAAGAAAATGCAGTACTAAAAAGTTGATAAAAAATTTTGAAAAAATTCCTAAAGTTCTATGAAAAAAAAAAAATAAATGATTTTTGTCTCTCGCAATTTTTCTGTAAAGTTGATAGTATTTGAGTAAAAAATTATTAAAGACCAATATTCGGCAATTTTTAGTGATTAATAACTTGTTAACTATTGCGAAAATTGCAAAATGGTCGAGGACTTTTCGACTCAGTTTAGTCCGCTCTATCTACACAAAAGCGGTTGGCAAAAACTTACGGGACACCCTATATGTATACATGTAGTGTGGAATCGTGGAGAACTCCACACCAAAAATTTAGCTTAGTGTGGAAATCCACATCAAAGGAATCCAAGAATTGTATTAAAAATCAATTAACTTTTTAAAATGTTGTTTGCTGATCGATATTTGTGATGGCAGTACAACTGCGGCATGGCAGAGATACAACTTTTAGAGATCATTTATACTGGCCGTAATCGTGTGCCGTATGCTGTTATCTGTAAGAATTTAATCACAGTCGAGCATTCCTCTTTTAATTGAATGAGAGGGGAATACTCGAATATGATTAATCAATTTTTACAAATTACGACATACGGTTACGGCCAATATAAATGATCCCTTACCGATTGTTAGACAGAGCGTCGCAATTCGCAATTATAATAAAGGGATCGGCAATAAAGAATACCAAATAAATAAAGTTGTCGATTCTGAATGTATACACAAAAAAGGAGATAAGATGGCATATTAATGCTTTGGGATGGAAGTAATTTTTTCATGTTATTTTGTTACGTGTTTTCAATGTTTTGTGCCGTTCAGCCTAGTAACAATTAAAATATTTCTTTGCACCCGAGAATTAACCTACAATATGTAATGATTCTTTGGAAAATTTACAGGAATAGACTTACAGTTTTCTTGTTTTTTTTCTTTTGATTATTATTATAATAATGCCTGTCTTATTTGGCATAAATTTACGAGCGTTTCGTCTCTATGTGTAATACAAAATCAAAATCAGGTAACGTAAAATTTAATATGAAATTGAATAAACCACACAACAAAAAAAAATAAATATATTATTATATATATATACATATAAAACAAAGCAAGTCCATACATATAACAAAATTGATATATAAAATATATTTTTTGTTATTATATAGATAATAATAAGAAAAAAATACATTTAGAGATATAATTGTCCATATAAAAAATATAACACATATACGTATATATATATATTTTTTATATTATATTATGATACATACATATATAAATTGATATTAATTATATATAATACATACGCGCGGTTCGCTACACGCAGATCTATGCATTGTGATGCGATTGTGCGCGGGTCAAGGTGTTCGAGTGAAAGTACGAAATATCAGCAACCGCTGAATAAATCTTCTATAAGAAGCTGGGCGGACGTTCGCGTAGAATTATTGCGGCAAACGTGCGATTACGCGAAGGTACAATGCAACGCTATCGCTCTTGATGCATCTGATAATCTCATAACGATTTCCTCTTATCTGGAAATTGTATTTCCTGAAACACAATAATTCGCCGCGGTGATACCTCTGACAGATGAGTGAGACGGCTCCGTGCATTTAATCCTCGCGTTGACATGCTCCGCCTTGTAATTGTTTGTTTATAATTGCACAAATTGCGATTGTAGACTGCTGCGGCGCTTGTTGAAGCCGCCAGAACGATAGAATTTGACGGCGTAAAGAAATAGATAGATATAGCGTTTAATAACAGTTTTAGAGGACAAGCCCTCTAAGAATGTACAAGTAAGGATTGTGATAAAAATACAACGAAAAAGAAAAGATAATAAAGATATAAAGAAATATAACAAAAAGTGAAAAGTAGAAACATAACAGAGATGCAGAAAAAAATACAAAAAGGAAAAATAATACACAGAAAATAAAGTCGCAACGAAAAAATTAACAAAAAACAAATAATAATGAAATTACAATAATATAGTAAGAAAGAAGAAGAGCAAAATTAACAGAATAAAAGGATTTAGATGTTAGAGAGCGAGCAGTAGCAGAGAAAGATAGCTAGATAGATATTAGACAAATACTTTTATTAATATCCTTTTTATTAATAGGACAAGTTCTCTAAAGATGCAATAAATGAACAAAAAACTGTAGGCGGAAAATTTGGTAATATAACGCAAAATTAAGAATAATTATGCCAAATAAGCAGAGTATAAAAGTACAACAAAAAGTAATGAAAATGTGAACAGAAAGTTTATTTTATTAACTAAATTAAAAAATAAGAAATAAAAATGAAATGAAAAAAAAATAAAAATATAAGAAAAGAAAACAAAGAAAAAGAGAGAGAGAGAGAGAAAAGGAGACGGATTAATCGTTTTTAATACACTTTACCACTCTCTAAAATTTTTAGAGTGAATCTTATTCTATAAAGAGTGAAATCTCACTTTTAGATTGAAAATTGAGTTATTTTTCAAGATTCTTAATTTTCACTGGTTAGAATGAGATTCCACTCTAAAGAATTTAGAGAGCATGGTAATTTAATAAGCCTATAATCCAGTTGGATAATCCAGTTGTCCGTTGCACTTTCTGCAGAAACCACGTTTTCACATCTTGTCCTTTCTCGACATTGCAGCAAGAGAATTAAGCGACGTTCGTTGCGTAAAGATACGACGTTTTTGCAACGTCGTGCCGGCGGTATCCCGTTCCGACTTGGTTAACGGTCCACAAATCCTCAAGATCCTCTTTCTGAATCGTATATACATAAATCAGCGGGATTCTTTAAAACAACGCAATTATTTTGATCGTTTCTGCATGCATCTAACCGCGCAGTCTTTATTTCCAAGAACGTCGTGCCTGAAATCGATGATTAAGATCATGAGAAGAAACTTCAATGTTTCTCATTGTCCGAGAATTGACTTGCTCTCATAAAGCAGTCAATTATTCTTTCTAAACAGTCGTTAGTTTCGGTGTTAATAACAACAGCCACGGTCCAATTTCTCTTTTCTATTTACACCCATCTCCTCGCCCACCTACTCAAAGAGAACAAGAAAATCAAAATGTCAATTTGACGTCATATATTGACGAATTTATTAGTCATTTTTTGATAATGATAAAAATCTCGATCTCAGATGATCTAAGAATGACTTTATATATAAATGACTTCATATGTATACAGGGTGATTTCCGTATTCGGAGTATAAAGTCATTCTTACACTGATAAAAAAGATTGGCTGATGCAGCAAATTAGATGGTAAAATATGGCATTTTTAATTGGTTGCAGCAGTTAATTTTTGATTGTGTTAGTCTATCGAAATCTTATACTGACATTGTAGATAGGCTAACGCAATCAAAAATTGGCTGCTACAGCCAATTAAAAATGCTATGCCATATTTTACCATCTAATTTGCTGCAGCAGCTAATCTTTTTTTCAGTGTAGATCATCTGAGATCGAGATTTTTATCATGACTAAAAATGACATAAATTCGTCAATATGACGTCAAATTGACATTATTTTGATTTTTTTGTTCTCCTTGTGGTAAGGGTAATTTCCCTGCGTTTCGCAACGCTAATTATATTAGCCGCATGTTGTTAGTATTAATTAATTGTTGACCCATAACGTCGCGTATTTGTCGTACAAAATACATCATCGTAACATTTTTATATCTCGTAGATGCTCGACAAATAAGACGATATGTCACCTGTCATCATCATTTTTTATTGCATCGGCCACTTTCTAAAGTGTGCGCATATATATATATATGTACATCACGCGTGATCTGCGATTTCTACAAAAAGGGTCAAACAAAATTATAAATAAGCAGATAATACGCGAATTGTTTTTAATCGCAATGGAATAGATTAAGTATGAACATATTACGAGAAATAAAATATTGAGAGGAACAAAATATATAGGTATAAGGAATCTTTTATTTATACAAGGGAAAACGTACATTTCCACTTTAAACTTATTATGTCAAACATCCGTGAGAATTGACGATCGCTTTGTGGACGCGCTCTACGAGGGTAAAACAAATAACAAACAATACATGGAACTTGATCCATAAAAGTATTAAGGTAGATTACTATTCATCGATCAGCAATCATGATTCAGCATCCATATTTATCTGTGCGACAAAACTTTCACTATTCTCATCTCATTATGCGAGCGAATAGTCATCCAAACAAATTCTGATCTCTCAGATAAGTTTGATCGCTCTTGAAAATTGTAGATGGATATTTCGGACGAAATTGTTTTAAATGATTTGTAAAATGTTGTTTTTAGAATAATAATTATTTCAGTAGCTTAAATGGGACTTAAAACAATGTTAACAACAGCAAATTGTAATAATAGATCTAATAAAATTATATTATATATATCTTAGGAGAAAGAGAAAGGCAATATATTATAGACTATTAATAAGAAATGTATTGTTTATTACACGTTCACAAGTTTATGAGATGCAGGTAACAGTAAAAAGTGACATCATCTTCTTATGAATAAGGATGGGATCAAGTACATTCTACGTAGTACTGATAATATCTACAGCACGTTCGAATTTTTTATTAGCACTGGGAAACATAACAGCATTTAAATGTAATTGAAACTTTCCGCGCTGCAATCAAACCTAGATGTAAGAATACTTATAAAAGTACTACAATGAAACATAATAGTCTCGTACATACAACAAAAATACTTTTACAAACGCTTCAATAAACATAAATTATACGTTTTTTTTCTATATTTTGCATCATGTTGTCTTTTAAGTTAAAACAATTTTTAGCATAATATGTTCTTACAATTTTGATCTATTTTTATAATATTTTTTTTAAATATCTTTTAAAATATAAAATATCTCTGAAATAATTTTTTTACAGTTTTTCGTTACTTTTTTTCAATGTTTTTACGAATAATATATTATAATATTGTATTATTTTTTATTACTTTTATTATAATTAATAATTTTATTTAAAGAAAAAAAATGCTTTGCAGCTGTTTTATTGTATAAAATGAGAGCTTATAGAGTTAGAAAGTCAGACATCATTAAGTTAATTGAATTGTTTTCCTCTATTTTTCATCATCAATTATAAAAGAAATATGGTAAATTGCATGATTTATCCTGTATATTTTGTACAGTTTCGAGCCCAATTAGATATTATTACATTTTTTTTCAGTATTTATATAAATCCAAATATATTTAATTTATATCTCGCTATTTATTGTTATCAGTATTTATGTATTCAATCGATTTGTAATCATATATTTCATAACATATAATTGTAAATATTTCAACAATTACGTATTCATAACTTTAATAAATCATTTATTATTATTTCGTATGTATCATTCGATTTTGACAAAATGGTATCCGAGGAATAACTCAGTAAGCAAGAAATATTTCTTGCTTACTGGGAAGGATATTACACGATATTGAATTGACCGAGATTCGCGGACACATTTAAAAGATATCCAGCTTTGTCCCTTTTCTATTTGTGAGGCTATGCTTTAAGTGCATTTTAATTAAGAGAGACGTATCGGTGAACTAATTACAAGAATACTCTCGTTAATTCTGGGTGACATCGCGTGCGGACGTTACATGAATCATTATAGCGCGCGTCGTATATCATTACACATGCGTATGTCGTGTATCCACGATGCGAAAGTGCGTGCGAGAATAATTGTAAGACACAGGCGGTCATTCTACGAGAAACCACCGAGCGCGGCGCCTACCTGCGAGGAAGGAAGAGAGGACTTTCGCTCGTTCGCAACGCAAGTTGTATTCTCGGATACGCGGATCCAAGCGTCTGCCGGCTTCCTTCGGCGCGTCGGAGGTCTGTCACTCTTGTCATTCGAGTCGACTTTCAACACGATGAAAAAAAAAAAGAAGAAGAAGAAGAGAGGAAAGAAAACCTTCGGCCTCGCGCGAATACGCTACCGGTCGCAGATCGCTGACGCTTCCGGTTTTAGAATGCGCGGCATCGCGCACGATGATCTTCGTCTTATAGGACACGTAACAAAATTATTCCGCCGTACCGCCTTTCTGTTTTTCTCTTTTTCTCCCGTCCCTCCTACCGTCGCAGCGTAATGACGTGAGGTGCGAGAGGCGAGAAGCGAGACGAGGCGAAGATGAGCGGGATAATTTTCAGGTTGGATCGAAACCTCTTCTTGATTTCTGCACAAACGCGATCAGCCCGCATGCCAGTCCACCCATGAAACAACGGAAAGCGGCTTTTCGCCGCGAAATCCGACAAATTCGTGCCTCGCTGAAGAAGATCTAAAGATATAATAGTGAAGATACGCTTGTAACAACACGATCCGATCTACAACACTAATAAAACTCATCCATACATGAACATCGTAAAGCTATTTCAACGTATTCACTAAGGCCGGTATTCATAGTCGGTTCTCTCTTGTACTTAAGACCGTCTTAAGTTTATTCTTAAAATATCATAAACTTGCAGTCACAGAGTCCCTGACAAAAATAAAAATCGGAGCGTAAGTCGAATGTAACAAAAAATGACAGAAATATAAACCTTTTAAGAGAAAAAAATTAAGACAGTAAAACGTAAAAGAGACATTTACTCTTCTTTTATGTTTCCTTGTCTCAATTTTCGTTTTCTACATCG